GAGAGATATCATACTATTTAAAAATAATGCTTTTATACTTAAGGGTATAATTATTATTATTATAATTAAGGACATATTTTGTTTGCCTATGTGTTTGTATATATGCAAAACATGTAATATGTATTATACATATTTTTGCCTAATAAAAGAATATAATTTTTCATCATAAAAATACTAATAAACTCAATGATAATAATATTGGTATCATTAATATTGCCATTCACAAATGTCACCTTAAAGTGAAGAGATAAGATACACACTAGGAGTCTACATTTGTAACATGTATACCTTGCAATGGTTACTATTCAGAATATATAAAGAGTTCCAACCAATTGGTAAGAAAAAATAACAACCATTAAGAATGAAGAAAAAATATATATGGAAAATGCTCAACCTCAGTGATAAGTAGGAAAATATCCCAAAAATAGCGTATTGTTTTATAATAACTAATTAGCAAAAATATGACTATACAGGATGTTAGATAAGAATAGTAAGAATTGAAAAAAATATATGCAAAATGGATAGCAGACAACCCTTGTGAAAAATTTGAGAGTGACAACTAAAGTTTAAGGTGCAAATATGCTACAATAAAAAAAATTATGGATAATGAATGATTAAAAATTCAAATTCATATAAGATAGCAGTGATTTTTTTTAAAGCTCCAGTAAATTACATGGCCATGAATGATTTTCAAACACATAATTGTTGAGTAATACGTCAAATATGATACTATGTAAATAGGCAAAGCTAAACAGTACTTTTTTTTTTTTTCCTATGGAAAATGTGCCTAATAAAATAATAAGCACAAAATTCAGGTTAATGGTAATATGTAAAACGGGAGGAAACAGATTGAAAAGGAACATATAGTGGGCTTTAAAATACTAATAATGTTCTCTCTCTTAAGTGGGGGGTCACAGGTTTGACCAAAAAAAAAAGGTGATAAAAGAAATAGAGAAAAAATAAAAGAATAAGATTAATTTTTGATGTAAGTAAGAAGAGGGAGAAGAAAGTCAGTAGAACAATCTCAAGGCCACAGTGAGTAGAGGAAGGGTTTATGCTTTGAGATGCACATACTGAACATATTCACAAGCTTACTAGAGGACCAGCTACAGAGAACAAACTCAAGGATACATAGATGAGTAAGATAACTGAAGAAGCTTTATCTCTGCATAAGATGAGACATGAAGCTTCAGGGCACAAGGGAAGAATGACCTTAAAGAGATGGTAGCTCTCTTTGAGAGAAACCAGAATGCAGAAGGTAGATGTGTATGGCTATAATTTGACCTATCTTTACATCACTACCTGAGTCTTAAATTTAGTTCACTCATTCATCAAATGTTTATTGAAGGTCTCTCCTTTAAATCAACTTTAAAAAAAAAAATCTAGTCATTCAGAATCAAGAGTCATCTCTCTTCCCACTCCTTTCTTTTTATTATACATTTTCACATCCTAAAAGATTTTATTGTTTTTTAAAATTTCAATCATATTTTCAAATTTCTATTTTCTTTCCATATCCTCTGCTATTACTCCATTTGATATGTAATACTTCATGCCTGTTTTTTTTAAAGAAATAAATTTAAGTGTTTTTTGTTTTTCTTTGGCTTTACCCAGTTGAAGTTAAATATTAGGTACAATTTTTAAAAAGAGGAAAAAACAAACAAACAAAAACCAGGAAAATATTTCTTTTTTTGTATTCTTCACCCATCATATGAAGGGCTTTTCCAACCCCAGGTGTCTCTATGAGCTAGTTCATGTCTGCTCATCAATAATTTTTCATACAATGGAGGAAGTTCATCCTCAATCCTTTCTTGACCTCAGTGCCTTGGAGATATCTGCTCTGGGACCACCGAAGCCTGTGAAATCTTATGGGAGCGCTTCCCTCCTGTCACTACTGCTGATGGCCCCGTGGCCCCTGGATCCTTCTGTAGTTCTACTAAGCTGTATCAGGCTGAATCTTTTATACAAGACCTTTGGGTTGTGCTGTGTTCTGCAGCTGTTTTATTGACAAATGGAGAAAATCCTTTGGTCTTAGAACCACATTTTGGTTGTTGATGATTCTTTTCTTTCTTAGCTTTCCCCCATCTCTGTTTATATGGCACTTTGTAATAAAAACAATTTTTTCATCCCTTTGGTGGAAAGGAAAACCAAGTATCTCTTTGCATCTGATTTCTATTCTGACTTATAAAGTAGCTTCTTATAGATGTGTGGACCTAATGAAGGGGGAGTGTGGCAAAAAGTATTCTCTAATTAAGCCCATGGGGCCTGCCTTGCTTGCCTTAGGCACTGGGGAAGATGCTTCAGAAGACAGCTTTTCTCCATTGGGCTCTTCCCAGAGGGACCCAGAGTTGTGGTTGTGGTTATAACCTTCCTACTTGTTGGACTGCAGAACAGTCTATTGGGGAAGCAGTTTTCTGGAAGAGGTAGGTATGTGATGAAAGGTGGGTTCTGCACTTTGGGTATACACACACACACACACACACACACACTGTGTGTGTGTGTGTGTGTGTGTGT